CTTAAATGATTTTAGAAACCGAAATTGGTTACATGAATAGATTAATTGGAAACTTTTAGAACCATCTGGGAAGTTTGATTAAAAATTGATTTAGCTTGGTGAATTAAGTTGTGTTTAATTAGCCTTTGATTAACGTATTAAGCCAATCCTAGCTATGTATGTGTTATAAGCTCATCCTTGAGCTCATTCTCCTCCTTTTGAGTACAAAAATCTGAGAATACATTTTAGATAAGACAATTCTAAAGAGAGAAAGTGAGAATTTAAAGGAGAAATTAAAGAACTTTGCTAGAGAAGCCAAGATTGTGCAAGAATTAATGTAGTTGAAGACTCTAGGTGAGTTTTGTAACCTCAATTCTTGTAGATAATTCATTTTAGAGTTGAGTTGATGGAATAGATATGATCATTTGCATGTATTTTGTTATAGAAGATCAAAAAGATGATGAAGCTTTACATGCATGCATGAATATGTTGAGTTTTTGCATTTTGAGTTTGGTTTTGGTCATTTTTGTTAAGTTTAAGAGTTAATTTATACATGCATCTTTGATTCATCATGTTTTAATTCTTAATTTCATGTTTTGGAAAGGAGTTTTATACATGCATAGAGCTTTTGAGCTCAATTGTGTTAAAGTTATGAGTTTCGAGAAAAGAGTTTGGAAAATCTTGCATGTATGAGCTGTTGAGTTCAATTTTGGTGAATTTAAAGAAATTTTGAGCAAATGATTGTAAAAGGTTATGTATATTTTGGAAAGGAGTTTTATACATGCATAGAGCTTTTGAGCTCAATTATGTTAAAGTTATGAGTTTTGATAAAAGAGTTTGGAAAATCTTGCATGTATGTTGAGTTCAATTTTGGTGAATGTAAAGACATTTTGAGCAAATGATTTTAAAAGGTTATGTATATATGTTTTCTAAAATGATTCTATATTTTGAACAAGCCATGCATGACCCAAGGCTTTGAATTTGTGTTTGGAAGCTCATACTTTCAGTTATGACACCCAGAATTTTGCCAGACCGCTCAAGCTACCAAATGGTGGATCACACGCACTTTGCGAGCTTCTAGGACTTTTGCAGTCTTTATAGACCACTCAAGCGACCAACAAGTGGCTCGAGAGAACTCAGTGTATTTTTGCATCCGTTCAAGTGACAAAGAGTTGGCTCGAGCATACATCAGACCCATCTAGTACTTTTGCAGGCCTCTGTGACCGCTCAAGCCACTAAAGGTTGGCTCGAGCAAATAACCTATTTCAACATATTTTGAAAAGATGTTATGTGTACGTATTTCCATCTACATGTCTTTCCGAGTGTTCTTAGGCATGAAATATAAATTATTGAGGATTAATAAGTAAGAAACCAACAAGAGGAATTGAATTAGAAAAGATAAGAAAGAGTTATTCAATTTGAATATGTGTCACAATGTGTATGGTTATGCATAATGTGTAGGTTCGAACGTTGAGAAAGAACATTGAACTACTCAAGGTGAGTAATGACTTTGGAAAGGTATTTTGTATAAATTACTTGAAATGGATTTTGCTATACGATGAATTATGAAATCTATACTTTGTTACAAGTTATGAGATATAACAAGTTTCTGAATAAGTACTTTCGAGACGCTAAGTTAGGCTTTGAAACTCCGATTTGTGTACCATGGGATAAGTTTTTTGAAAATGAGAATTTTCTAAAGAATGAATAAGTTTCGTTTTGAATAACGACTATGATAAATTGGGAAATGTACTTCGATCTCCTGTGACTAATGTTTGGTCTATGATCCGTCTTCGACGTGTTGTAAACATTTTGTATGATGTCAGTCTTTGATGATCGTTTTGTATGATTTCGATAATTTTTACACCCAATAGGAAATAAACTTAACAACATATATGTATGTTCATTATGATTATGCTCATACAATACCATGCCATGCATATGACTTAACTTTGTTTTGAAACTCAAATGTGAAATGCATAATTTGAATCCATGTTTCACCCAACTCATTAGCCATTGTCATAACCAAAGAACCTTCATTTTGTAATAAAACCCACATACACATCTCAAACACTCCCCACATTTACTGGCCATCAAGCACGGTAAGGCAAGTGGACACCTCTTACTTTTTGAAAACCTTCACATTTACTAGCCACCAAGCATGAATGGGCAATTGGACACCCATTACATTTTAAAAACATATCCACATTTTTCGACCACCGAGAACGAAGGGGCAATAGACACCCATCATTCATTTCAACCATCCCCTTACATTTACTGGCATTTAGCACGGAAGGGCAATTGGGCACCTTTACCAAAATACCAATAACATCCCTACATTTTCCGGCCTCCAAGCTTGAAAGGGTAATTGGGCACCTTGATAAACACAACATTTCCAAAACCGCACACACATTTTTAAATTACTCAACTCTTAATCCAAAAATCAAGTAAATGCAATGCATGAGTTTCCAAATATTCTAATTTACCCAAAACATAATTTAGTTATACAAGAAATTAACAATTGAAAACTAGTGAAACATTCCTTATTTTCAAGAATTCAAGTCTTCCTCATTACCAACAACAATCTCATGCAAGACATTACATTACATCCTTCCAACATTCCAAAGTCTCCATACGATTCACTTCCATGAATCCTTAATAATATCATCATAGTTCATAATTCATCCCCCCACACCCGCGCGCACACACACACACACACATACATATATATATATATATATATATATATATTCAAGGAATATCAAGTGAAATTTCAACAAAAGGCACTAATTAGCTCAAACCTTCTTTTAATTTAAAATCCCAAATTTAGGGTTTCAAAAAAATTGAGAGTTTTCCTCATTTCTTTATTAAATCATCAAATCATCAAATATTATTCGTCAATATACCAAAACAATCAACAAATTTCAAAAATTTGAGTGAAGCCCACTTTTTTGTACACAAATAACTTACCATTAAAGTTTTCTAACTCACCCCAAAATCCCAAAATGTCACGAAATCACACTAAATCATAAATATATATGGTTAAGAGAACCCCGTACCTCAAGAATGTGAGCAAACCATGAAGACCCAATCAAGAACTTTGAGGAAATTGCAACATAACTGGTCTATATCACGCTCTACACTTCTCTTTCACTCTTCTTGCAAGATCTATGGTGAATACTTTGTAAAATGAGATGAAATCAAAGGTTTAAGGGCCAAGATTTTCAGACATGGAGGAGTGAGAGGGAGAAAAGAGAGAAAAGTGAGAGAAAATGAGCAAAAAGTGGGTTCCATACTGGTTGAACCCTGAAAAGACCGCTTGAGTGGCAGAACATGCGTTTGAGCGTCAGAGACAGAAGACAGCTCGAACGATAAAACCTTGACTTGAGTGAGAAGTGAAGATTGCAGAAAAAAATACTGAATGCCCCAAAAGACCACTTGAGTGAACACTTCTTTACTCGAGCGATGAGAAAAAATTTCAGACTGTTACAATCTTCCCTTCTTATAAAATTTCATCCCCCAAATTTTCTACGACACCAAACTAAAAATGACAAAAACTACACAATCCACATGCTAAAGGGTATCATGCTCCCTAGAATTTAAACAACTTGAATTTTCAAGACCAAGGATAAAAGAAATAGCCATAGGAATTAAAACTCGTCGAGCAATCACGAATGGTTTATAATCGACAACGTCTTTAAGGGAAGTTTCCAAACACAAGAATTTCACACAATCAAAAGAAATTATTCTTCAAAAACAAAAAACAAAAAGCCATATTTATATGGAGAGAAACCGAAACAAAAAGCCAATCTAAGCACTTAAAAGCTAACTGATTAGCAAAATGACAAAAACAAAATAAACTATCACATGATTGAATTAGCCTATTAGATTGACACATGCATATGTTCTCACAAACAAAACTAGTCATATAATTTGAGAACCACATTGTTTATCCTGTTGCCCTGTGAAAAACTTGCAATATTGTTTCTCATAAATTATATCAACCAGAAACATCATGATCATCATTATAAATTGAAAAATCTAGAAATCCCCTAGATCTTGATTTGTGATTATGTAACAATTTTAAGCAGTATATAACAATCCCAATCAAACAATCAAGACAAATCAACACAACGATTTTAACGTGGAAAAACCACAATTGGACACCTCCAACTGTGATTAAAAAACCACGGGCAACAGCCACAAAACAATCCACTAAGAAGATTTAAAGCAATTACACAGGTATACTCTCAATTATCTAGCGCATTCACGCCTTATTGAACCAACCTCTATGTGCCTCTTCCAACCCCGTCTTCACCTCAGAATTGTCTTTACGATGAGCCACTCTAGAATCCACCGAAGCTTCAGGCTCGAATTCTTCAGAATCCACCGAAGAACAACTATCTCTCTCTTGTGTATAGCAAACAAAACCTTTGATGTACTCTCTTTAAACCATGAGTTGAATACTCAATAAAACATCAAAGAAAACTAACAAAATATCCCCAGATATAAACCTTAAGAACCAAAAAGAAGCTCTGGAGGAATTAAATAGTTTTTGGAGAAAACCAACTATTTATAGAAAATCCAAAAGTAATCCTAGTTTTGGAAGAAAATCAACTTCTTAAAGAAATCCTTGTCAAACGGGATTGCCAATAATAAAACCTAACAAAAGTAATGCTTTTTATCCAATTACATTATAAAAATGTTTTATTTCTTTTGATGCTTTTTTTTTTTTTTTTTTTCATTTGGTGCTCTGTTTTCTTTATTGCATTTGGTGCTCCGTTTGATTTTTTTTTTTTTGGTTAATTGTTCTTTATGAAAGTGCTTTTTATTCAATGATAATAACATGTTAGTGTTATATATAACTTTTGTTGAACCTAATTTGTGAATTAACGTTTTTAAGTTAATAAAAAAATTAGTTTATTGGATTTGTTGCTTAATTTCATCCATGCCATTTATGTTTAAGAGATTTTTTTCTGATAAATTAATTTTTTGCATTGTAGGGGTTGCATTTATCAAAAATGGCTGATGCACAATGTGGGAAGGATGATACACAATTTGGACCTATACTTGGTATGGAATTTGACTATGAGCAATTTGCATATGATTTTTATAATTCTTATGGAGGAAGAGTTGTATTTAGTATTAGAAGAGAATATGCTCACAAAAGTAAGACGGGTGACATTACTTCAACGGCATTTGCTTGTTCTAAGGAGGGACATAGAAAAGTTGATAAAAGAGATTACGTTGCGAAGAATGCAAGGGCTGAGACAAGGACTAGTTGTGGTTCTCCAATGAACATTAAATTAAATAGGAAAATTGGGAAGTATAATGTTACCAACTTCGTAGAAATGCACAACTATCACCTTGTAGCAAGTGAATGTTCTCATATGCTTCATTCTCAACGAAAAATTTCCACCTCTTAATCTATTGAAATTGATTTGGCTAATGACTCTGGGATACCTCTTAGGTCATGATATGAGTTAATAGGTAAAGAGATAGGAGGAAGGGAATGTGTTGGGTTTTTGAAACAAGACCAAAAGAATTATCTGAGAACAAAAAGACAAAAAATGCTGGCATTCGGAGAAGTATGGAGCATATTAAAAAAATCCTTCATTCTTTTATGCCATGCAGTTGGATAGTAAGGAGCAAATAAAAAATATTTTTTGGGCAAATGCTAGAATGATAATTGACTACGGTCAGTTTGGGGATGTTGTGACATTTGACACAACGTACAAAATTAATAAAGAGAGTCGGCCATTTGCTATTTTCATTGGCTTCTGTTAGGTTTTTATTCTTGGCAATCCCATTTGACAAAACTCCTTTCAATTGTACTTGTTTTCGCACTTTTATTTTAGTGAGGCTATGAGTTTTTAGTTGCGAATCCAACCCGAATTGTGCCTTGCAGAGAAGTTTGTGGTTCTAATTCTTTCATGATTTCCACTTCGCTGACTATAACGGAGATCGAGCTGCCTGGTCAGCTCGCGGGGGTCTAGGGGGCAGTGCCCCTTGGCGGGTTCGGGGTAGCGCCCTTGAAGCAAAATGCAAAAATGCATTCGAAGTTGCTTGTCCGCTCGAGTAAACATTCCCCCGCTCGAGCGGAGAATCCTTGGTTCCAGAAGTTTGATCGCCTGCAAAAATACTGGAAAATGTTTTTTCCCGCTCGAGTGGAATTTCCTGTGCTCGAGTGTCAGTCTGTTCGAGCGGCCATTTCGGCGCTTGAGCGGAGATCGCGGGACAGATTGCTATAAATATATGATTCAGTCAGATTTTAGGGTTACGCTTCCAGATCTTCTTCTTGGATATTAGGGTTTATATCTGGGGCTATTTTGCTAGTTTTCTTTGATGTGTTATTGAGTATTCAACTTATGGTTCAAGGAGTATACATCAAAGGATTGTTTGTTTATTCTATACAAAAGAGAGAGTTGTTCTTCGGTGGATTCTGGAGAGTTTGAGCCTAAAGCTTTGGTGGATTCTGGAGTGGCTCATCATTGTGATTTGACATCAACGTTGTGGATTCAACGTTGGGCAAGACAATTCCGATGTGAAGACGGGGTTGGAAGAGGCACATAGGGGTTGGTTTAATTCGGGTGTGGATTCACTAGGTAATTGAGAGTATACCTGTGTAATTCCTTTGTCTTTTTAGTGGATTGTTTTGTGCCTTTTGCCCATGGTTTTTTTTATCACAATTAGAGGCGCTCTAATTGTGATTTTTCCATGTAAAATTGTTGTGTTGATTTGTCTTTGATTGTTTAATTAGGATTGCTATTTACTGATTAAAATTGATACATAATCACAAAACAATATCTAGGGGATTTCTAAATTTTTCAATTGGTATCAGAGCAGGTCACTTTATTTTTTTAAAAAAAAATCTATTAGAGTGAGATCTTGTTTGATTTGTGATAATGGATTCAATTTGTGAGGGAAATTCTATGGTTCAACCACCTTTACTTGACGGATCCAATTATTCATTTTGGAAAGCTCGGATGAGATCGTTTTTAAAATCTGTTGATGAAAACGTTTGGCAATCTGTCATGTATGGGTGGACCGAACCGACGATTACTATTGATGGAGTAACTTTCCCCAAACCAATTGATAAGTGGGATATAATTGATTACCAAAATAGTAGCTGGAATAGTAAAGCTATCAATTCTCTCTTTTGCGCCGTCACACCTGAAGAGTTTAGTTGTATTTGCAATTGTGAAGTCGCAAAAGAGGCTTCGGATATCTTACAAACTATTCATGAGGGCACTCCTTCTGTTAAACGCTCAAAACTTCAAAGGATCACGTCTAGTTTTGAAAACCTTTCAATGAAAGATAGTGAGACCTTTGATGAATTTTATGCAAAATTGAGTGACATTATAAATTCCAGCTTTAATTTTGGTGAAAAAAATACCGAAATCCAAGATTGTAGGAAAAATTTTAAGGTCCTTGCCCGATCGGTTCCAACCAAAAGTTACGGCTATTGAGGAGGCTCAAGATGTTGACAACCTCAAGCTGGATCATTTGGTTGGAAATCTCTAAACTTATGAGGCACATAGGAATTTTAAAAAGAAACAAAAAGATGCTATCGCTTTTAGTAGTGCGTATAGAGTTGGAGTGGATTTTGATGAGGATTGTGAGATAGATTCCAAGATTACGGATGCTTTTGTAAAATAATTTAAAAAATCTTTTCTGAAGAAGAATCCTAATCTTTTGGAATCTACTCATACTCATAAATCTAAAGGCAAAGATAAACTCAAAATTAATTCTATAGCCAAGAAGGAGAAATGAAAGATACAAGGGAACTCTAAAAGAGTCCAATGCTATGAATGCCAAGGATTTGGCCACCTTGCTTTAGAATGCCCCACTCGTTTGAAGAAGAAGAAAGCCCTTGCCATCACTTGGGATGATGAATCAGAATCTGATGAAGATGAAAGTGACAATGAAGGTCAAGTCGAAGAGGGTCATAAACAATTTCTTGTTTTCATGGCGGCTTCTGAAGCTGAAGGACAAACAGATTCTCCAAAGAGGTCAGTTGAGAATATCACCGATGATGAATCCTCGGAGAGCGATCATGAAGAGAGAGAAGACATAAAGTAGGGCAATATAAATAAGTTGTATGTTAAAAAAACATCTAAACACAAATATAAATTTTTATTAAAAAATAACATGTTCCAATTGCGAAAAAAAAAGTGGGAAAAAAAAATTACACTGTGCATTTCATTAAAATAAAAAAAATTGTATATTAAAAAATGTAAAAAAGTAAATATAAATTCTTATTAAAAAATAACATGTTACAATTGTGAAAAAAAAGGAAAAAAAATATTATATTGTGCATTTCATTAAAATTTAAAAAATAATAGTTTTTATATTAAAAAAATATCTAAAACAAATATAAATTTTTATCAAAAAATAACATGTTGTAATTGCGAAAAAAAAAGAGAAAAAAACTACACTGTAAAAAATAATTTGTATAATAAAAAAATATCTAAAATAAATATAAATTCTTATTAAAAAATAACTGGTTGCAATTGCAAAAAAAAAAAAAACTAATTTAAACACACACAAGAAAATACTTTTTAAAGATAAAAAATACTTTGTTTTTTGATACATGTAAGAACAATATAGTTTTATACCTATGTGAGAGGATATGAACATTTGACCTGGAATAGCTACAACACCCCTACCACTTGATAGAAATCACAAAATTTCTAAAAGGAGGTGAGAGATTAGCTTCTAGAATTTGAGGACTTTGGGTTCATGAGTTTCCTAAAGATTATGCTCTTTTAAATAGTTTGAGGTACACGGTAGCAATCACACAAGTTGCTAGCTGAACCCATCAGGCTATCACATGATTTCAATAATTACATTGAAGTTTTAATTTAGAGGGAGTGTTCTAATAATTTTGCATTTGTTTTGTGTTTGGAAATGAATAATTGCAAAATTTGATCAGTTCATTCTTCTAAATCTTTAATATATTGATTAAATAAAATAAAGGATATACAATGACAACTTAGAAAATCATAGGACAAACAAACAGACTTAGAAACAGACAAAATTTTAAAGACTTAAATAAAAACAACTAAGCGTTAGCACTGGGCTCTTACCCTTGCCCTCTGTAACTGTTCGAGGAAGAGGGTAGAGGTGGACATCTTCGTCTGGGCCAAATTCCCAATTTCCCGAAGCAATAACAAAATCATCTCCAGCCCCTTTGTTGGAGTTTGGATGGTCGGCTACAATTTTAAACCGGGTAGATCTTGGCTTAAGGTAATAAACGAAGCCCCTATCCTTCAGGTTGAGGGGACACATGGTATAGCAGTACTGAAGGTCGGCCAGGGTGATTCTAAGATTCTCTTGCCTAGCTAAAGCTATAATATCGTTAATCACCCTATAGGAGTTGATAGTAAGTTGCATGGGGTTCAGCTTGTAGAAATGAAGAACTTCACGAAACAAGGGATTAAGTGGAAGCCGAAGTCCACATTCAGTAAAGGCTACTATAGGAAAGGGCATCGTATGGTCTGTGGGCATGATGGTATCATCATCCCCAGCTAGCTTAAGGTGAACATCGGCTGGGATAGAGAATTCCTGCCTAAAGTATTCGAGTTTTGTTGGGGTATTTACCCTATGCCTCCACATACCCCTTACGTCGACTTAAACAAAAGAAAAATGTGTTTCAGAAGATGGGCGTTTAAAGAAGGGTTGCAAGAACCTCGGCAAAGACCTGGGAAAGGACTGACAAGGCTTGTTTCAGTTTTCCCTGAGAAATTAACGATTCTACACACAACTCCCAAGCCAAAGAACTATAAAGATCAAAATCGAAGGCACAGATCTGGAACAGATACGAAAAAAAAAACAAGAAAACGATGACGCTTCAGAATCAAAGAACAGAGGTATGGTTCTCAGAAACGAAAGATATACAGAAGTAAAAAAAAAAATCAAGAACAGTGGCAAGAAAAGTGGTGAAATAGTGCAAGTGTTCAAGATGTAGCCACGATTCAAGATACAAACAAATCCAAGGCTTTGAACAAAAGCAATAAATGACAACAGGCAGACGAAAGCACATAAAGAGAACTAAGAGTGAAAGGAACAGAATCTTACCAGAACAAATGAAGCCGGGCCAATATTCACCGAGATCAGATATCGGTTGTGATAACAAAGAAAGCTTCGCAAGAATGGAAGACTAAAGACAGTTTCAGAAGAGAGATTGAAGCAATGGCAGATTCGAAGAAAAAAGAGCTTTCGGCGAGAGAAAGAGCAAGAAATCAGAATGAAAAAGTGAAGAAAGAAAGAGGCAAAGAAAGTTTTGTCAAAAACTTGAAACGGCGGCAAAAATAGGGCATTTATTACGCCTGAAGCACCGGATACGTCAGACGGCGCAGACGGATGAAAAGACAGCCTTAAGGCGCGTCGCAGGAACGGGCCAATAAAAATAAAGCATTTGAAGGGGACGGTTAGAAGTGCATGACAGCTCATGCGCGTGGGAGAGTACGTTCGAAACCTTGTTCTCCGAAGAGAACACATCAGCTGGAAGTGGATTATCTCGGCTAAACAGTTTTTGAGCTATGACTCAGAAAAGAAATGTCGAAAAATCGATATAGGTTCCATCACCTCAGAATGTCGAGGTAATAGAACCTAGAGGGCAGTTGTGGGGATATATTTTCTGAATACCAACACGTGGTATGGTGACGCCGACGTGTCAGCCGAGGTGCCACGTGTCGTGGTAGTTAGGCAGAGATGATCTCGGAGTTGCCGAGGTTATCTCCGAAGATATCGGAATCCGAGATAAGCGAATAAGGGACAAGAGTCCTAAGACGAAGAGGGGACTTAACCAAGATAAGGATAAAGCTCTTAGGGAGTTTATCTTTATCACTTAAGGAGTCCAAAGTAAGCACTGAATTGGAGTTCATAGAAGTCATACTTCTAGTAGGACTTGGATTGAATATATTATAAAAGAGAGGCACCCCTGTGGGTCTAAGGTATGCAATTTATGTTTTGAGTATTAAGTTTAGCACTTGATTATCTTTGAGAGATACACTGACTTGATCGTCGGAGTGCCCCCGGGTGGAAGAACCACTGCCGGAGCCTTTTCTTTCTATTACAGGTTGTTGAAGCCATCTATTCTGCCTGTGCTCTCCAGTTGATCACTAAGCAGGCAGTGTGGTCAGATTTTCACCCACACAGTGAGTATATTTTGAAGTTTGAAATGTCACATTACCTATATATGTAAATAAGTGGAGCATTCACGATCATTGCTAATATGTTGCTATTGTTCATGATCATTGGGATCTCTACTAGATTTTTGTGTTCATCCCACGATGTTAACCATTTTTTATGTATGAAATTGAAGATGTTCAAGACCAAGGTGTCTTTTAATTGTTGGCCAAAGGGACCAAGGTGCCTATGTTTTGTATCAGGAGATTAGTTTTATTTCCTTCATTTAGTTGTTGAATGATTATTGATGTAAGCCTAAGGGTACTAATAGTTCATTTGTGTATACAAGAGAAGACATTGTAATTTATTCATTCATTAATGCTTTCACATATTTATTATTATTAAATTGGACTAATTAAGGATTATGGTAATATTATTCGAGTAATAAAAGTCGGGACATTACAGCATCAAATTAGACAATTAAAGTCCAGCAATAGCTAAAAAGCCCAACAATTAGTACCAAGCAAACTAAAATGAAAGCCCAAACTAAGGGAGAGAAAAATAAGGGTAAATTACACTAGTAGTATTCTTATACCATTTTGGTTCCTGTAATTTTCTGCTATAACTTTCATTGCGCATATCTTTTTTTTTTGTCCTATAAAATTTATAGTTTTAAAATATACTCATCAAAATCTATTAAACTAGATCCGTTTTGAATATAATATTGTGCAAAAATATAAGGTATTTTTTTTTGGTGAAATCGAATTTTTTTTCAATTTTAAAACTGAGAACTTTCTCAGCTTTCTAAAATTGTGAATTTTGAGATAAATTTTTATTGCTTTATCCCAATTTTTAATTTTGGAATGAATTTTTTCAATGTTTATGATGAAATTCTCAAATTTTGGATTAAAAAATTTTCATTCATAAAATAGAAAAAATTCTCAGTTTTAAAACTATGAAGTATTTCTAGTTCTCTAAATTAAAAAAAAAAAGTTGAAATATCATAGTTTTGTCTTAATTCTTATATATGTATATATATATTTAATGAATTTCTCAATTTTCATCCAATTACAATTAGTCATAACCATTACTATTTTGAATCATAACCAAATTAATATAACATGATGTAAAATAGATTACTTTCTAATAAGAAAAGAAGACCGTCTAAAATGTAGAGATTGTAAGGTGATTCCTAGAGAGAGCTTGACATCTCAATATAAGATTTTGATACTTGATTTATACTTTAAAGGGAAATACTAAGCTCAGAAAGATAGTGGTGAGACCTAAAATGGGATAAATTAGACACATTTAATAATAGAATGGATAAAGAAGGTACTTGGGACATGGAAGATAATGCTAACAATATGTGAAGCTCGATGGCCAAGTGTATGAGGAGAATCTCAAGGGAAGTTCTTGAAGAGTCAAAAGGAAAGGGACCCAACTTTAGGAAAACTTGGTGGAGAGAGGATGTTCAAGCGGTAATAAAGACGAAAAAAGAGAGCTTTAAAAATTGGCAAAATGATAGAACTGAGGAAAACTTAACCATAATAGATTGGCCAATAAGGAGGTCAAAAAAGTAGAAAGAGTGACTAAGTTGAAAGGCTATGATGACTTATACACTAGACTAGATAGTAAGGAGGGAGAGAACAGAATATACAAACTTGCTAAAATAAAACAGAGGACAACAAGAGATTTTAATCAAGTTAAGTGTATCAATGGTGAGGACTCTAAAGTGCTGGTGAAGGATGAAGAGATTAAGGAGAGGTGGAAAAACTATTTTGAAAAGTTGTTAAACGAGGAACACGGAGGTAGGTCAAAATGGGAGGTTTTTAAAGGTCTTTTCCTTACAATCGTTGAGCACTAGAGTCATCACGGCCCAACCCGGATCTGTTCCCTAGTGGCCAGAGTCATCACACACAGTGGAATAATTTCCCTGGACTAAATACACA